GGTCTCCCCTGCAGAATTGGTTTTCCCTTCGTCAGGAGCACCGCTGGGCTGTTTAAATCACGGACAAACAGTATCCCACAGTTGTTTATGTTTTTAAACCCATTTTGCACAGAGGGGCATTTTTTGAAAAATGTATTGATAGCAATAATGAATATTATTACACAGAAAAAAAACTACACGTAAAATAATCACACTGTGATGCCTCTGCCTTTGTAAATGGAGCAACAGTAACTGCATGTGTGTATGCAAGCGTGTAAAACCTGCAGATAGTCAGATTAGCAGTATTTTTTCTCTCTCTGCCATTCTGCAATTCATCTCATGTAAACAATAACGTGGCACACAGCGTGACGTGAAAAAGGCACATACCTTTGACGTTGTGTGACAAACTCTGTATTCCTCGTCCACAGGTAAACGCAAAAAAGGAGTTTAAAAAATCTCAGTTTTCGGTGATTCGAAACGCCGTTTATGTGTGGACGAAACAGCTGCGTTTTCAAAGAAGGGGGGCGCAAACATTTTTCTTGTAAAACAAGGGGGGCCCAGCAAAAAAAGGTTTGGGAACCACTGATCTAACTCACACTTTGAGAACTCAGCATGATGCAGGCCTTGTTTTTGCTGCCACAGCGCGGGTGAAAAAGAGGTGATCGGGACAGTTTACTGGCGGTGGTGCCAATTTTTGTCTGCTTTCACAAAGTTATTGATTCACCACAATAATCAATACAGACACTGTAATCACTATTAGTGCTGCTTGGAGTGATCACTGAGCATGTTCATATTAGCAGTGGCTCACAGTGATGAGGTATTTCATGATCAACAAGAGCACTCAGTGTTAGGGTGCCTGGGTCGTCAGCCCCGTGTTGTGTTTTTGGTTCTTTGATTTTGTTTATTTCATTATATTCTAGCTTTGTCTTATGGGTTATAGGATTATTCTTAGTTTAGGTTCTCTGTGTGGGTTTTGTTTGAGTTTTAGTGTTCTGGTTTTCTGTCTGTGATCCATAGTTGCTGTCTCCCCTGTCTGCTGTATCCCTGTGTCAAGTCTGCATCTCTGTGTTATATTTCCTGTTTTACTTTTAAAGTCTGTGTCTATTGTATCAGGTTTTGCTTCCTTGGTCGCTTTAGACCTGATTTGTCTCAGCTGTGTTTCCCTCCTGTTTCCAATTCCCCGATTGCTCCCTCTGTGTATTTAAGCCTTGTGTTTCTCTGTGTCAGTGTTGCGATCTACTCTCATTCATGCTGTGTGTTCTGTCTGCCTGACTGCCCAAGTTTATTCTTTGGGTTTTGGAAGTTGTTACTTTGAGTTTAGCATTAAAGCTGTTTTTTGAGTTCACGTTTTGTCTCCGGAGTCTGTATAATTTTACCATTTCTGCCTGCACACAGCCTAAACATGACACTCAGAGCTCCCTCTGAAGGGCAAGGTTTACACTACAATTCAGAGGTTTTTATGAAGTTTTTATAAAACATGCTGACTTACACTTTTTTATAGATCATTTATGCTGATGTCAGCATTGTTTACATACGAAAATGGTGTATTTTATCATCGTTGCCTATGTGATTGGAGCAGAATTGGCTTCTATGAGACATTAAATCTTGAAAACTTATATAGTCATGCATCTATTTGATGGCAATGATGACGAGGTTTCACCGACACGCAGCTGTTTTTTTTTTTTTTTAATATATCCTCTTCTAAATGTCAAGGTAGACTACAGATTACAGATGGCTGTACAGAAAATGAGCCTTGCTTTAGCCATGCATGTTTTCCAGAACTTTGCAAAATCTAATTAGATTTTACTCACAAAAGGTCAACATAGATGCATGTGGGAAATTTTGCACCATAATTACATAGGAGAACACACCATAAATATTAGACATCTCATATCTCCCAACAAATTGAACCTAACTGTATTACAAGACACGTGTAGATGATGGAGGTATGCATTTTTCCAACTATCTAACTAAAAAGTGATTTTTCTGGTATTTTAATGCTCCAAAAATCTCTCTGGATTTCGCTGGATGAAAAACTTAAAATAAAATGCCCCCCGCTGTTACGTGAGCAAAGTGCTGATCTCTTTCATTTACCACGGTATTAGCATTATATCTGACAACATAATTGCGCGCGTGAATTCTAATTACCTCCAACTGCATTTTTCGGCTGTGGAGCACAATATCACCTCAGGCGTTACTGGAGGGTGAGCATTATAAAGCTCGAGACAGAAAGAAAAACTCATTACACCTGTGAGGGCAATTCCAAGTCATTTTCACAGCTTGAACAACCTTCTCTTTTAAGAATTAGCGTAAGCTATTTACCTCCCCAGCACCTCCTCTCCTCCTACTGCATGTAATCCCTCCAGCCATCTTCTCCACTACTTACATCTCACTCCATCCTCATTCTGCCACTTTATTCCATGCACACCCTAAAGTATGTCTCCTGTTTACTCTCCTTACTCATCCCCCGATCCCGGCACTCCAGAGTCGAGGCTGCATTTTTGCCTATTTTGGATTAAATCCTTTGTTTGTTCATTCCAGCCAGACAAGTGCGTGAAGGGTGTTTAATGAGTTGTAATCACCGTCAGCTCCAGCCAAACTGAAAAAGCACAGTGAGGGGGAGAGGGAAGCATGAGGAAAGAAGATAGGAAGGACAGAGCGAGGGAGCAAGAGATGATCTGCCACCACAAGTTAATTTCCTCTCCCGTTGCTCCTGTTGTTTATACGATACTAGAAGAAGACGAGAGTAAACCACAGGGAGTTGCTTTCCTTCACCCTCCCTAATCCAATTACATCTTGCCAAAAGCAAGACAGATGAAGTTGGAGAGCTTTCTCACAGAAGCTGAGAAGCAGAGTTTAGTTATCACAGGTTGCAAAATAATAGGCAGAAGAATGAACTCTGCAAAGAAAAAAAGAGAAATACCGCTGGTTTTAGGTGTTGGTGTATGATTATTGCATATTAATGTGTGCAAAACGTTTGAAAGTGTGCCTCAGTCTCTATGTGGGTACTCGGATTCATCTGCAATCACAGAGTCAGTCACAGATTCAAATGCTCAAGTGTACTGAGGTTTGCACAGGGTCAAAAACGCAAGTACAATTTGCACATGTGTGACAGAATATGCAAATATAATCAGTCAGAAATATGATTGTGAATAGCCTCAGTGCCCTCAGACAGCCCCTCAGTCGGCTGTCTTTGGGTCTGACAATGCATAAGCGGTGGATTACACTATTCACTAAATAGCTGCAAGTCAGGATTGCTAACGTACAACTACTGGTACAAGTAAGAAGATGTTGTGGGGTGGGATAGATTAGGGTAAAGCGTTGCCTGTTTCTCTTTGAGAAAATAATTAGTTTTAAAGTTAGTGTGTAAAATATTGGCCACTACAGTCAACTGAGTTCTGCTTTCTTACCCCTCCCAGTTCAAGAGCATAATCATAGCTATGTTGGCTGCTGTAAGACAAAATATTTAAGTCAGTCAAGGAAGATCAAAACCATTAAATGTACCGCATAATTGCTGGTGTGTTTCTGCTACTGTCTGGACAGCAGTTTTTCATTATGTGTGGAAGTCTACTGTTGACTGTTTACCTCAGCTGTCAATGCTGGGTGAGAAGTGTCCACATCTCTTTGCTCTGAAAGAAGACGTAAAAGTTTGTGAAAGGAGTCCAACACGGGTAAATGAGCCAAAGAGGCTCACTTCTGACCAATGAGAACCAAACTGATGTGAGCTGTTGAGGATATCCCGAATCAGTACTGTTTTTGCTACTGTGAGCCTCTGTTAGTCACTTCTTACCCCAAAGTAGAGAGTAAATAGACAATACTCATTTGACAATAAAAGGGTATGTCAAAATGAGGTGATGTAGGAGTTTCAAATTGATACCTCAATTGATTGACCTCAAGGTCAGAGGTCAAGTTTTCTGAAAATCTTTTGAATGCGATAACTCCAGAACAATGCAATATAGGATTTTGATACCACAGGTGTGTCTCCTAGAAGGCTGAGGGGTTACAGGGCAGTCACCAGCATTTTTACCAATTAGTAAAATATGAGGTGTTAAACGTTATTCTGCTGAGAGCCAGCTAATCGCTTTTCTTTAGATGCTTCCAGTCTTCCTTTTAAAATAATTGCTCTTCCCCTGTTTAAATGTGTAGCATGCATTTATTTTCTATCGCCATTTCAACTACTTTTTCTTGTAATGGTGTAAATGTGCATGTTTTTCATGGTTTAGAAAAATACATTAACTACTGGACACACACATAGACCGGTGAGAGGTTATAAATGACAGTCGCTAAAGTAAATGAAACGTCTTTTGAGCTCTCTGATGTGTGGCACTAAAATGTGAAAAAAAAGCCCTCATGTTCAGACTTTGTACTGAAAGCAGAAAAAGGCCTTTTGTCACAAATGAGGGAGTTTGAGACTTCCCCTTAATTGCTGTGACATTTGTTTGGGCAGAAAGCTGAGAGCAGAAAGCTGAAGGTAAAAGTGTGTTTTATATGCAGGCAACACACCGTGGCATCACTCATTCCACAGCTCAGTGAAAACAAGGATTCTCACTCATATCATATCAGTTTCAGACAGCCAATCCACCAACACACCTTTCATCTTTGCATGTGACCCCAGCACAAACTATTATCAGTATTACACACAACATGAATGACTTTGTGAGCCACTACCACCTTGACAATCCAAGTGC